ATGCTAACAAATAATAGTTTCTTGAAAACAATATAATGGGCATGTATTTAATGGCATATACTTGTGCATAGGTTCTGAGTGTGTGTGTGTGTGTGTGTGTGTGTGTGTCTGGGAATGTGTGTGTGCATGTGTGTATGCTTTTATGTGAGGAATATAAGTGGCTACAACAATAAGATTCACCCAAAAATTATTAATTTTTTCATAGAAGGTACTCATATTATTGATAGCCTGATACAGTGGGACATTACGGGAGCTCAGGCCAATTGTGGATCTCAACTCCTCCACTAACTAGAAGGCCAGCTGTGGCACCAAGGACATCCATTCTTTGCTTGCTATAAACACAGGCTGCTTTAGATCCTGTGCTATACAGACTTCTCAAAGCACAATGGTCCATCGGAGTCATCAAGGGAGTGAGTTCATTGTTAGGATGAAAATTCAAATGGCATGCAACAGAATGCTTCACGGTGATTTTTAAATCATATTTGCAGTATTCTGTGTGTGTGTGTGTGTGTGTGTGTGTGTGTGTGTGTGGAACTGAAATCAGGACCTTGCCTTTGTCAGGCAGGCACATGTGCCCCTTAGAAATGCCTGGGCAACTTCACAGTGTCCTGTGATTAGTGAGCAAGCCAGTTTAGTTCCTTACCCTACAGACAGGATTACAGTGCAGTGCAGCAAACCCTCCCCCAGTGTAAAATTGGAAAAGGGCTCCCAGAAGGATCCAGTGGGATTCAGGTCACCATGCCCTCCACCCTGGCACCTGGAGGTCTCTGGAGGTTCTGCAGGCTGGGTAGGAAATGTGGCATCCTTCACACTGCCCAAGCTAAGGCACATGCAGGATGAGTTTGGATTTCAGATCTGTAGGTTACCGTATCTTCAGGGACCAACAGAACAGATGTTTGGATAAATGCTTTTTTCTGATCCAAAGATTCCTATCAGCTCTTTGCTCAGTTTTTTTCAATGTTGAGTGCTGTCAGAATTAAAGAGTTTTGTTTGGGAGTCAGATGCAAGGGCAACTCCCGCAGCTATCAGCTATCTCTGGGACTGAGGCAGGAGAGTCACCTAATACCAGCATTTC